ACTTACGTGCAGTGATAAACTGACTAATTGTGGCTGATTTTAAACTACTTATGTGCAGTGATAAACTGACTAATTGTGGCTGATTTTAAACTACTTATGTGCAGTGATAAACTGACTAATTGTGGATGATTTTTATGTACAATCACTCTTAACTTTGAAAAAGTTTTGTGAAACAGTAAGTAAATGCAATGTTTCCATAAGTTATATCATTTCTGTTTGTGGTGCATAAAGTTATAAGATTTATAGAAAATTTAATTCAAGCAGTCAAACATATATGCTACCCTAATGAACTTATGTGGAATACTTTAATTTAAAAAACTGTTTTAAAATCATCATGATATCAAAACAATTAATCATTTTCCTAGATTTAAATGTAACTTAACAAAATAAAGTGGTATACTGGTTGTCTAACTTAAGAATTGTTTTAAAGCATTATTGTAGTATTAGTGATGTTTACATTGTGTACTAAAAATATGACTAACTTGTTCTAATACAAGTGTGGAGCTCTTAGTCAAAAATATAATCAGTTCAACCCTGGGAATAACTGTAATTATAGTCAATAGCTTTATCTGTGTATAAGAACAAATCAGTTACACCCATTTTAGTAAAACTTTAATAAATTTGACAAACATTAGAGTTCCTCTTATGTAGAATGCATTGTAGATTTCAATTTCAAGATCTTGTGCTGTGTGTTTCTATTTCTAAGACTTTGTGTATTAAACAACCAGTTGCTGATCCAATTTCATAACTCAGTTCTATAGGTTTAATTTGTCTTCTTGTACTCTTTATATGGCATGATTGCTATATTACACACTAACTATTTAGGGATATGTGGGGGGAAAAAAATCAGTGGTTCACTGAATGTTACTGCAACCAGTTATTAGAATATGTTGTGTGATAATCATTAAATTAAGAAATAAAACAAGCTTATTAGAGATGCTAAATGGTATTTAGGGTTGTCAAACTCCTGGTTATTATATTGAGTGTTTGATATTTCTTACTGTAATCATTTAACTGTAATAAGAAAATGTGTTGATATTTGTTAAAACTACAGTAAACCTAACATAGAACTGTTCTTTTTGTTGTTGTTGAAGAAAACTCTTCATTCCTTTGTTGTTTTGTATTCTAAGTATTGTGGATACTTTTCAGTATGTATGAAAGATATTAGTGTGCAATAAGTTTAATTATAATCATTTAATCAGGTCATATTTGATATGGTTTCTTTTTAGAGCAAGGTCGAGGAGTTTAGTTATGAAGTTGTGATTGTGAGTGATGGAAGCACTGACGATACAGCAGAAGTTGCTCTTCAGTACAGTCGTAAGTTTGGAATAAATAAAGTTCGGCTCTTATTGTGCAAGGAGAATCGTGGAAAAGGAGCTGTTGTAAAAGATGTAAGTTTTTTTTTTACAGTATTTGGAATCTTGTCCACAACCTTGGTTTAATGTGTACTGAGGCTTCATTCAACTTTAATAGTAATGTAGTATTTATGCTCACTGTTTTTAAAACAAGTGGTCCATTCTGTTTTTTTATTTTTAAAGTAAATTTTTTTAAACCATTCATTTATGAACCAGTTTATATTTATAATAATCATTGTAGTTAATAAGTATTTTTTTAAATTTCAATGAATAGTGGCACTTGTATAGCAAATGTATTATCTTAAAAAAAGCTTTAAATTAGGTTACAGTAGAGAGGTATGAAAAACAGATTATAGAAGTTATTTACAAATTCACTGGTTTTAATTGTACTTTCACTGATTAGTTTTTCTATGTGTGTTTCATATAGTACTGTACAATTTATTTTAGATCAGGTAAACTTGGCTCTAAAATACTGTACACTTTTTTGCAGTTAAGTTGTGCTCCTTCTGCCAACAAACTCCTTGAGGTGGATTCTTGTACATGGTGAGGGGACCTCCCAGGGAAGATTCTGTATTTTTGCAGGTATCCCACTCATTGTAATCATGATGCTTTCCAGGAGGTCAGTGCCCATGCACGACTGACGTCAAATCCAGTATTTCTTCTACCAAAGTAATCTGAAACAAGATTCTGAAGGTCAATGGGAAGTATTCTTCCCATCCCTTTTCCATCTCGCTCTCCAATTGCTAGAAATTTAATGATATAGCATTTTCCCACCTTTCCAGCACTTCTGTCTCTTCTCCTGCCTTCTTGGCCATCAAGTCTTGGGCTGAGAGATCACCACTTTCCTTTCATGCTGAACATCTCTACGGTTATAATTGCCCATTTATACTGGTGAAACTTAAGATTGATCTTTTTTCAGTCTGGCAGCACATCAGTTGGACCTGATGATGTTCACTTTGAGATGCTGAACCATCTCTCTCCTTCCTCTCTTACTTTTCTTCTGGCTGTTTTTAACCAGATTTGGCAGGAGAACATGTTTCATGATTCTTGGCACAAGGCTATTGTTCTTTCTTCTTCAAAACCTGGGAAGGATCCCAAGATTCTTTCTAATCATCATCCAATAGCTTTGACTAGCTGTCACCTGGGGTTGTGTCTTCCTTCCTAGGTGGGCTGTGCTCTTTCAGAATAGACAGTCTGCCATTCCTCCTCCTCCTCCCTTTGGCCTTCAGATCCAGTCACAGCTAACTGATTTGGGTCTATCATTGGATGATGTTGCTGAGTCTGATAATCAGCCCATCCCACCATGGCTCATTAACATCCCCACCTGTGACCTTTCTTTGAGTCATCTGAGGAAGGCCGATACTCCCAAACGATTTTTCTGTTCCCATGTTTATGGATGATTTGAAATCAGGTTACTCTCTAGGCTCTGGCATGGTTTATTATGGCTTGGTGATTGCTCACAGGATCCTCTCTACAGTTTTTGTGTTCACTGCCAAGTTGTATGCCATTTCTCTTGGCTTGGATCATGTAGAAGCTAAGCAGTACACGAACTGTACTATTTGCTCTCACTCTTTTAGCACTCTATTGGCCCTTAGTTTAACTTCTCATCCTGTTCTCGTTGATATTCAGAAATGACTGGCCCACTTTTTACTATCTTCTGTTTCTATCTAGTTTTTTGGATACCTTGCCATGTTGGTATTCGTGGGAATGAGCTTGCTGACACCGCAGCTAAGTCCATCTTTTTTGGCATTGTCACTACATGAGCTCAGCTTCCTGCCACAAGCCAGTTATTTGTTATTGATAGTTGTAGCCTTTTGATAGGGTCATCTTCTACAACATATCTTTCTTTCAGAAGTTCTAGACCCCCAGATCATTTTAAGGGAGAGGGTCTTCTTCCTTGTCTTTTCATCATTGTTTTTCTTTGCAAACTATGATTTGTCTCATTTTAGAGGGTTATTTAGGTTCATTTATTATTTGTGATACCCTTGGCTTTAAAATTATTGAGATCAGCAGATTGTACAGTCCGGCCTTTCCCATTACTTTTGTTGTCTCCTTCCTCTTTCTTCTTGCTCTGTATTTTTTTCCGCTTCCTTCTAATCCAGTTTACTTACAAAATTTGAATCAGGAATTTTCAGATCTCTTACAAAAAGTAGCTGAAGAAATTGTTCACCATTTATCTCCAGGTTTTTATTTCTGTTTTTTTGTAGTTCCAAAGAAATTGGGAGGTTGGAGATGTGATAGATCCACCTGATCTCAGAGAAATTACTCTTCATTTCAATGTGGAAAATATGAGAATGTTACAAAGGTTTCTTTGATGAGCACATTGGATGACAATGATGAATGTTGAAGATGATTCATACCCTGATTCATCCTTCATCTTGCACTTTTCTACATTTTTTCCATCCACGGGTATTTTTATCAGTTCACTTCCTTCTGTTTCTCCTGGCTTTCGCTTAATACATTTTGTGTCATGTAGTTAAGGCTTTAATCAGTTATCTACAATCACTCAACATTAACTTCCACTTTTATATGGAGAATTGGCTTCTTCTTGCTCTGTCTTTAGGACACACTCAGTTTGCTATGTCTTTCAGGTTTATCATTCACAACACCAATATCAGTTAGTACTAACTGGTTTTGGATCTATACAGTTGAAGGAATTCTTCAGCAAACTGCTGTCTTCTACATCTACCACCAGAGACATCCTTTCTACTTTGAGGATGATGGTTTACTTCATGAAGGTACTCTCTTGGGTAGTGCTCACATGCACTACCTCTAATGATGTTGCTTCCCAGTGTTGCTGGACCACAGCTCCATTATCTCATAATGTATTTCATTCACCAAGTACTCTTGAGGTATTTCAGTTTTATTTTAAATAAGATATTATGACTGCAGGCTCCTCTTTCCTTCCTTTTTCTTGAATTGTCCTAGTCCTGTGATAATTGGGTTTTCCACACAAAGTGGACTCTCCAACCTTTGTTTTTTTTCGATGGTTATATAAATGGCTGCATTCATTGATTGATGGTTTCAAAATGGCGGATAACCATCTTCAACTCTAATGGTCTCCACTTCTGGATCTATCTTCACTACAAGGCATACTTTAAGTCAAAATTGAGAGAATATCTTTCTTTATGCCTACCCTCCATTCTACCTTCTTTCACTGATATCAGGTTCTCCTCACTGTTCCAGTTGGACTAGTCCAACCAGTTTTTCCTGTCAGGGAGAACTGATCCTATTACCCTCATGAGAACATGTTCTATGTCAACCTTGAATGTCCATTTTTCATATCACAACTAAACATCTTCACGGCTGGCAGTTTTTTTTGTTTTTTTTCAAAGATTATCTTGGTGGCTTGATTGTTAGCCAATTCTTGTTAACGTTTGTCCCTTGCTGTCTATCAATTTCACTGAGCTGTCTTCTTGAATTGATGCATTTAGCATTCTATATCTCAATTTCCTCAACAAATTTTTTCAGGTATTTGTTATATGATTGTAACATATCAGCTTCCCCTATAGGAGGTCATAAAAGTGGTTTATCTGCTACCTTTCAGTGCCATTGGATCCTTCCATCTCTTTCATCCCCATTATTCACAGAGCTTTTCCAAGTTTTTTTTCTAGATGTTCCCGTGTTTCTAGACATCATAAAGTGGAAATTGGGCTTTGTTTTATGTTTCTTACTTTCTTCTTCTATTGAACCTTTAATATTTTGTTTGCCTTATATCTTTCCCCTCAAGACATATTTTTTACTTTTGCTTGCATTGGGTAGATTTTCAAATACCTATGCCATCGAAACCTCTTGTACCTTATTTACTTAGAAGTTTCTGTACATGTATTCATATAGAGCCTTTCTACCAAAGCCATGAGCTGTGATGGAGGAAAGGTAACCACTTTCTCACCTATTGTGTTGTCTATCCTGATTGCCACAGATTCTTGTTCAGAGTATGACTTATGTCCTGTCAGGGTTGTTTGTTGTTATCTTGCATGCACTGAATAATTCAGGAGATTTTCAAAAAGGTTATTTATACCTTATAATGAATCAGACTCCTCAGATCTTTCTCTGAAAACATTACAAAATTGGCTGTTACATTTGATTTTTCTTGTTTACTGTGATGTACCCAGTCACCTTAAGTCTTTCAGCCCAGTCTCGATCCCTGGCACCAACCTCGTAACCATTTTGTGCTTGTTATAGTTTTCATGCTACAACTTTTAAATTAGTAAGCGAATGTTAACAAAATTTGGCAGATTATCAGTAAACATTACAATGCTTTCATACTCAAAATATTTAATTGTTTTTACATTAAGTCTTAAGGTTTGTAAAGCAGTGTTTCTTTCGCAACTTTTTTTTCTCTCATCTTGCCTATTTATCTTGCAAAGTAATTTTCATTTTAAGATTAAAAATACTTTTATCCATCAGAAAGTTTGAAATTTCACATACAAAATCTTTATAATGTTGAGATAGTTATCAAATGTTTCTTAAGAAAAAACTTTATATTTTATCTGTTATTTTCAGTAATTAATCTCTGTATGGGTTTGGTAGATTTGACCGATCTCGCAACCACCATAAAAAATTAGGAAATAAACATAAATTATGCCTCTTTCATTCTAGAATGAACACAAGTTATAACACGAAAACATAAATGTGTAAGTGAAATAGCTTAAACATCATAACATTATACATTTATATATATATATTATTTTTATTATATTGACCTTTCACCCATGCCTGACTTACAATATAGAAGTTACAATGGACACAGCTCACTTGCACTCATATTACCGTATCAAATAACATAAAGGTGACCTTTGGTCTGTACAAAGTAACTTGTCTTGGATGTGTTTTAGTCAACTAGTATTTTGTAAAATACAGTCACATTTCGATTATTATACATGAAATATGTATATAGATTATTGCTATTTTGCAATAAGTTCTTTAAAGTTATTTTTCTTAAAACATGGAACAGTAAATAAAGTAAAGCAAACACTTGTCTTTTCTAGTTATGACCTTATTACTCGGTCGCTGCTTGATGTAGCGTGGGTTGC